TGCAGGATACGCGTTGTGAATCATAAGGTTAGAGGTTCAATCCCACCAGCCTCTCCATGGGAGCAAGATGAGGTTTTCTGCTCCCACAAAGATTTACAGCCTCAGAAACCCCATATAGGGTCGCTATAAGTCACAACTGCCTTGACCACACAGAAGAGCAACAACTGCAATGAGGAGTACCTTTCCTAGGCTTCGTGGCGTGACCCGAGTGAAGGTTTACAGAGCAGCTACCAGCTGTACATTCAACCAGTCATATACTTGGTTATATCTCGATTGCAACCGCTCCATGTGACGTCATTTCGTCCACTTCCTGTTTCTTATTTCCATTCGTCCTCTTTCTCCCACCCTTCTGAATTTTGTCTGTTGTAAAGAACCCCCCATTTTGATCTCAAATGGTTAACCATTCTATGGTGGTGGTGTCCCCCTATCTACTGCTTGGCGGCAGACTGAGCCACGGGGAGTGAGTTCAGTCCCACCCCTGAAAGGTAACCAAAGGCCATAGTTCTGAGGGTTCTCTGTCTAACCAATAAGACTGGTCTTTTTTTTTTTTTTTTATGGTTTTGAGTTTTGTTCCACATTGTTCTCCCGCTCTGTCTAGGATCCTAGGTTCTTCTTCAAAGCTCCTGGTGATTAGTTCCTGCCCTTTTTGTGTCCCCCAGTGCCTACCACAATGCCTTTATTTTGACAAGTAAATATTTGACAAAGGTGAAGGAGCGGTCTGTTCAGGCTAGACTTTACAGAGGGCTGGCATTCTGAGAGGGCTGGGCCTAGTAGTTAAGGTGAGAAAGAGCAAAGGACAGAGTACGGAACCAAGCTGTTTCGAATTATAAACAAAGCAAAACCAAGCCATTAGCAAGGGAGACTTTAGAGAAGAAAACTGGAATATCTATGAAATACGATCAGAAGCCAGTCTTCAGGGCAGATCAAGTTTAAGAGCTGTTATCTGGCAAACAGTAACTAAGCCTTGCTTTTGGTTTTCCATGTTCTTATCTTTCCTTGGGTCCTCTGATAGGACTTTTCTTTAAAAGGCATGTTTTGAGACCCTTTACTTGAAAGTCACAGTGTTTTTGTTGTTAAGTGCTGTCCAGTTGGTTCCAACTCATAGTGATCCTATACAGGGTTTCCAAAGAGCAGCTGGTAGGTTTGAACTGCTGACCTTGTGGTGCTGATCCTACAACACCACGCCAAAAGTCCAGTAGAATTACTGAAAATATCCTCAACTGTATGCTCTAGTGCCCTGTCTTTTGTTATTGTTAAGTGCCGCCAAGTCAATTCTGACTTATAGTGACCCTAGGAAGGGTTTCTGAAGAGCAGCTGGTGAGCTTGAACCTCCGACCTCACAATTCAAACTGACTTTACTGTCCAGTGCATTAACCCACAGCGCCACACCAGGACCCCCATAATCAGTAATTTATTCTCCATAAGGGTAGCCACCTTTTCACTGTTACCAATACAGTGTCATCTGCCCACCCCACCCCGCCCCACCCTCATGCTTACATTATAATGAATGGGGGGAGAGACTTCAGAGAATCTTTTCTGTCTGTGCAACAAACCAAAAAAAATGGTTCTTCTCCATTCCTGGCCTCTAGGATCTGGCATCAGGATTGGAGGAAGACTCATTTAACAACCTGCGATATGCAGATGATACAACCTTGCTTGCTGAAAGTGAAGAGGACTTGAAACATTTACTGATGAAGATCAAAGAGCACAGCCTTCTGTATGGGTTGCATCTCAATGTCAGGAAAACAAAAATCCTCACCACTGGACCAATAAACAACATTTTTATCAATGGAGAAAAGATTGAAGTTGTCAAGGACTTCATTCTTCTTGGATCAACTATCAACACTCGTGGAAGCAGTAGTCAGGAGATCAGACGATGTATTGCATTGGGCAAATCTGCTGCAAAAGAACTTTTTAAAATGTTGAAGAGCAGAGATGTCAGCTTGAGGACTAAGGTGCGCCTGACCTAAGCCATGGTATTTTCAATAACTTCATATGGATGTGAAAGCTGGACAGTGAATAAGGAAGATCATAGAAGAATTGATGCCTTTGAGTTGTGGTGTTGGAGGAGAATACTGAAAGTGCCATGGACTGCCAAAAGAACCAATAGATCTGTTTTGGAAGAAGTGCAGCCAGAGTGCTCCTTGGAGACCAGGATGGCTAAGCTTCATCTCTCATACTCTGGACACATTGTCCAGAGGTAACAGTTGCTGGAAAAGGATGTCATGCTGGGTAAGATGGAGGGTCAGAGAAAAAGAGGAAGATCCCCAACGAGATGGATCAGCCAGGTGGCATCATTGATGGCGTCAAGTGTGGCAGCAGTAGTGAGGTTGGCCCAGGATCGGACATTGTTTTGTTCTGCTGTGCATGGGATCGCTATGAGTTGGTTCCAACTCAAGGGCACCTGACAACAATGACAACAACAGGATCTAGTTTATTTATTTGGGTTTTGCGAGTTTTATTTTAATCCCATGAGGGCAGTAGGTCTAGACCAAAGTAAAACTTCAGATGTAAGGGAACAGGGACCTATGAAGTCCTGCCTGGCTCAACTCCAAATTCCTGTTAGAATACTTAGGAGGCCAGTTGAATGGGGGCCAGAAGCCTTCCTTTGTGATGTATTTTCCACAAGGTTTCTGTGGGCAGAACTGGATTCTCTGGGAGTTAACAGAACTCACAGAGAAGCACAAAAGCATCGCTACAGGAGATATATTCCTGGCATGGACCAATCTCATAGCTTCTGATTAAACTTGATTTCCTCCTGCTTCATTGAAAGGCCAAGAACTGAGTTAGTCTAGAACACGTCTTTTCTCAGAGATCTCATCATTCGCACTATCTGTCGAGTTTCTGTGTACACAAAAGGAGAAGTAGTCAGCCTAGAGACTCCTAGGGGGTTTTGTTTAGTTTTGGTTTTGGTCACGTTCAAAGCAATGGCAAAACAGGAAATGGGGATATGTTACATGTCAGAGTTCTAAGTAGTACCTCTTGGCCTGCTGGCTGAACACGGAACGATTGGGCTCAGAGTCAAGGTCGAGGAAGGTTCTGGATGGGCAGATGCTTGTCTTTCATTCCAGAATGAACAGGATCCCAATCTGTTCTAGTCTCTTCTCTGCCTCTCATTAGAAAGAGCCTCCAAATGATCCTTGAAACAGGAAATAGCTTTAGGACAGGGGTTCTACCTGAGCTTAATTTCTGTGCCTTGGTTTGTCCTTTCTACCACCCCTTTCTCTCCTAAGCAGACCTGCAGTGTCTAACTTCTTGTACGTCTCTCCCACAGGAGAGGCCTGAACCCTCCTCATCGGGTCAAGTCCATCTCCATGACCACTTTCACTGAGCCTGAAGTACTGTTCCTTCAATCCCGTGGAAATGAGGTGAGCTACCACTCACTGGCGGAGTCCTGGTGTGGCACTGCGGGATGAGGCACTGGACCACAAGGTCAGTTTGAACTGCTAGGTCGGCGGTTCAAACCTACCAGCCTTTCGTCGGAAACTCTATGAGGGTTTCTCTATGAGTCAGAACCGATTCGATGGTACTTCCTAACAACCACCACTGGCGGAATGGCTAGAAGGCTGTGTGGTTGCTCTGTCTGCCCTTGGAACTCTACCTCAAGATCATAGAAAAAAACTACAATGTTTGTTTTCTCTGTCTCTTTTTTAAAATTAACTTTTTATTGTGATTTCAGTGTAAGCTTACAGTAGAAGTTGGTTTCCCATCAAACAGTCCAGACAAACATTTTGCTTCATGACATCGATTACAGTCCTCATTCTGCCCTCTTTCTCATTGTGTTTTTCAACCTGTCCTTCCTTCCTGTTCCTTACTCCCTTCGGAGCTGTGTCCCTGGGCAGGAGCTGCCCTTGTGACCTTAGGTGACTGGTTGTTCTAAGGGTACAGTGTTCTCTTGTGGCTGAGTTTCTCTTCTTTTTTAAGTACATAGGAGGAATCCTAGTAGTGTGAGGACTAAAATGCAAGGGCTGCATTTTGAACCTACTAGCCACTTTGAGGGAGAGAGATGCGGCAGTCTGCTTCCCAAAAGATTTATAGCCTTGAAATACCTGAGGGGAGTTCTGCCCTGTTCTATAGGGTCCCTGGGTCAGAGCTGACTCAAAGGCAGTGGATTTGGTATGTTTTTAGTTGAAGGTTTGTTTCTTTCTTTCTTTCTCTCTCTCTCTCTTTTTGTCTCTCTCTCTTTCTTTCTTTACTTCTATTGTGAATTGAGTGAAGATCTACAGAACAGATTGGTTTTCCGTTCAGCCATCCACACACACTTTGTCCCATGGCCTTGACTGCACTTCCCCCAACGTAACAACACTCTTCCCATGTCTTCTGTGTTTCCTGTTTTTAGTCCTACTTTTCAAACCCTTCTGAATGTTGTCTTTGGGTAAATGCTGTCCTTTTGATCTCAAATGGTTGATGATTCTAAGGTATGGTGCCCTCCCTAGTGTGATTGTTCCCCTTGTGGACTTGTCTGTTGTTTGTCTGAAAATTAAGCCATGGGGTGGGTTCAAAATGGCTAAGGTCCAAAGCCTCAAGGGTGCTACCAGTTTCTGACTAGTAAACCTGATCTTTTTTTTTTTTTAATGATTTTGAGTTTTGGTCCACCTTTTTCTCCCACTCTATCTAGGACCTTCTAATGTGAGCCCTTTCAAAGTAGTTGGTGATAATAGCTGGGCACCATCTAATTCACGTCTCAGAATTGTGGAGATTGATGTTCACATGGTGCATTAGTCCATTGTGCTAATTGTTTCCATACACCTACAAGGACCAGTTAGTATAATTATTATTCACATGTACACACCAACCACTAAAGCCAATGATGAAGAAATGGAATTCTACCAACTACTTCCGTCTGAAATTGATCAAGCATGCAATCAAGATGCATTGATAACTACTGGCGATTGGAATGTGAAAGCTGGAAACAAAGAGGAAAGATTAGTACTTGGAAAATACCTGGCGATAGAAATGGTGCTGAAGAGTGTATGATTAATTTTCCAAGACCAACAATTTTTTCACTGTGAATACCTTTTTCAACAACATAAATGGTGACTATACACGTGTACCTACCAGATGGAATACACAGGAGTCAAATAGATGACTTTGTGGAAAGAGACACTGTAGAAGCTCAGTATTATCATCCAATACAAAGCCATAAGCAAACTAGGGAACTGACTATCAATTGCTTGTATGCAAGTTAAAGTTGAAGCTGAAGAAAATTAAAGTAAGTCCACAAGAGCCAAAGTATGACCTTTGAGTATATCTTACCTGAATCTAGAGACCATCTCAAGAAAAGATTTGTGACCTCCGGTTTGGGGCCAGGTAAGCAGAGACAGATACTGAAAGCTCCTCTGCTAAAGCCCAAAAAATGTAGAGAAAGAGCAGTCTGCAGAACAGCTGTGGAGCTTTGGATTTTGTTTAAGGTTCCGGGTGCCAGTTTCCCATGCCCACTGTGGAGATATTTGCCTGTGAAACCAAATATGGTGATTTCTGAATTGATTCAGCTGCCGTGGCCAGCATCCAGAGGTCCTGATGGAGGGCAGGGCCACAGCCAAGCCTCTGGAGGCCTCTGGAGGGCGGGGCCACAGCCAAGCAGAGGCAGTGACCCAGTGCTAGAAGCTGTGGAGCTGCACATCTGGAGAGAGAGGTGTTACCGATTTTTCATATTTCACTTTTCGTTTTTCATGTATCTTTCCTCTTCAATCAGATTGCGCCCTCACTGCCCAGTCCAGATGCCTTCAGGTGGACAGGAGCACACCCCCAAAAGGGTCCAGCATTGCACCCACAGTTTTCCAATGGTACAGAGAGGAAACCCACAGGCTGCTGCTTACGATGTTTGACTCTGGGACCCAGCTCCAAAGTTGACCTGGGCAGGACCCTTTATCCCTGCCTACACAGAAAAGGCCAGTGGACAGTGTCAATCACAATTTTACTTTTGTTTTTTATTGGTGGTTTCTGTCTCTACTTTTATATTGTTTCTGTTTTTGGTCCTTTTGGCCTCACTCTTTTCCCAGGGATTGGAGCTTTCTCCCCCTACCTTACCCAAGAAGAGATAGGAACTGTGCCCATATAGCCAAGCTACAAGCATACCCTGTAATACTCTACCATCTGGACAAGAGCCAAAACCAGCTGCTAGACAATACATGTGACAAGGGAAGCCTATCTCCAGATCATATCCCCCAGGAGACACTCAGTAAGCTTAACAACAAAGCAACATACATCCATATAAGCTTTAAAAACCCACATGACTGCTGAAAATGTCCAAGAAAACACAATTAAAGATCTCAACACATGTCCAAAAACAGAAAAAAGTAACTGAGACAAATGAGCT